GAGATAGGATACGAAATGAGCATATACGTGAAAAGGTTGGAGTAGCTCCAGTAGAAGATAAGATTAGAGAGAGTCGCCTTAGATGGTTTGGTCACATAAAACGGCGGCCTTCCAATGACCCGGTTAGGAGAGTAGAGGTTTTAGATTTGACTTATGTTAAGAAAGGTAGAGGCAGACCAAAAAAAGACTTGGTTAGAAAATATTATGAAAGACCTTTCTTTATTAGATTTAAATGAGAATTTGACCTTTAATAGGACACAATGGAGAAAAAGGATTCATGTAGCCGACCCCACGTAGTAGGATAAAGGCTTGATGTTGTTGTTGTTGTTGTTGTTGTTGAACGTTTCCCTGAACAATGTCACAGTTTCTCATTTTAATTGTAAGCAAAATAATATTATGATAAACTCTCCATGATAACTTATTAGGCCCTTTGAATTTCACCAGTAAAGCTTGGGACATCCTTATTATCTTCATCTTTGGTTAGGTATCCATCATACATAATCCACAACACAATTTCCCTTAACCGGTTAAATAAACTAAGGGGTTGTTTGATTGACTAAACAAGGAATGCAGTATAAAAAGAATACTTTGAAGTTGTTTGGATGATTGTAAAAGGAATGAATGAAATTAATTTTTTTTTTATTTGGTTTGAAGTAAAATGAATACAATGTAAAGTGCAAAAAAGTTGTGGCCAGGGGTGGTCGGCGGCGACCCGCAGTGGCTGACGGCCAACGATGGTGGGCAGTGGCCGGCGATGGTGGGCAGCGGCTGGCGGTGGCAATGGAAGTGTATTTGGAAATCGCCCAAATCTAAGGAATTCCAAATACACTGGATTTGAACTAGAGGATGAATTTCATTTACTTCAAAATTTTACTCTGCATTCTTTTTACTTCAAACCAAACACCAATATTTTCAAAACTACTGCATTTCAAATACTTTACACCCTTTTTGCATCAAACCAAACAGCCCTTAAATTAGTGGATTCAAAAAGAAAATTTGGCATAGCCTAGAGTTACAGAAGTTAAAACTACAAAATTGATGGAGAAGAAAATTTTAAAACTGCAGATGGTGTCAGGATGTTTTCGTCGTTAATGAACAGCTTTCCTTACATATGCATGGGTTTTCTTAGACATATAGATCCATATACGTTGTAACAGCACATTAATCTTCTTTTTCATTGTTTATTTTTTTCAAAACAGTTGTCTGTCAAGATTATGCCATAGCTGATCATATTTTTTCATAACCATTTATAGAAGCCTAACAACATAACCGTCATCAAGGATTATCTAGACCCTTCAGCAAACACGATAGAATTTTTGTTGGTTGATTACCGGCCACACTTTGTCCCATGCTGCTGGGACATTACAGAGAAGTATCTTGCACATCATCAGCTTTCATACATGGTATTATATTTTACTTTTATACGAATCTCCGCATAAATCAGCACGACTAAACAAGAAGGCTGAAGCTTCTTATTCTTTGGATCTATGAAAAGTTGGTCTTTGGATCTATGAAAGGAAGAAACTGTGTTCAGCCTATCTATTGGATTACTACTACAAGATTGCCTCACAGAGAAGATATTGGCACTTTATCTAGGTATGCAACACGCTAAATTAGAACAAAACTTCAGAATCCATGAATTTGACTAATATTGAACAAACAACCATTTTATATTTCCTGCACCACAAGAATTGCTAGTACTAATAGTAAACCTTGAATCCGGCAGAAACACTGTTTACAGCCAAAGTACCGATGACATCATCAGCTTCAACTCCTGGAACCTGCAAAAAACAATCTATAGATATACTTCCATATTCTTTATCTTTTTCATCATAATATCTACCAAAAATATTACCTCAATTACTTTAATGGACATAGCTTTAATGGACGCTTTCAAATATTGAAGACCTTGAATAACAGTATCAGGTGTGGGTATGCGGTTTCCCTTGTAAGATGGATATAGCATGTGCCGAAAAGTCAATCCTTCAAGCAAAATATGCTATAGTCAGAATTATAAAATTGATGTGGAAAACAGTATGCCTGAAAATGATGTCATAAAACAATTTTAGCAACGCCTCTGCTGGCACTTGCACAATGCATAAAATGCAAAAAAAAAATGTAATATTTATTATTTAGCATTGTCACGACTATGGTATTGATGAGGACATCGCTCAGAGATTCCGATATGTGTACCAACGAAGAAATCGTAGATTGACGGCTACGATTCAGAGTCTTTACTTTTGATGCGTTTTATTTTATTTTCAGTTTTTCCGAGTTTGCCCCTGTGGAGAGTGCTTTCTTATTGTAGCCTTAAGGGCATTTGTGTACTTTGCTTTTATTTATGTTGGAGGCCTATATATAGTGGCCTTATGCTTTGTAAAAGGAGGAATGTTTGAATGAAAAGTTTATGTTTGTCTTCTTCATCTTGTGTGTGCACTAGATATAAGAGATAGTGCCCAAGGTAAGGGCGAGCACAATACCCACCAGTCATTGAAAGAGTCCGTGGCTCGTGATCTATCTCATTCTTCCCCTTTCTTCTTTCCTCCACCCGCCGACCCCTAGCTTCCTTCCAAGCCCCGGCCACATACCTCTCTACCCAATCCACCGGCCACCTTCATGCCATCCTCAAATCCTTTGACGCTAAACCCTTACCCATCCCCACCGCCGGCCAAGACCTCATAACCGCCGGCCGAAGCCCTTTCTTCAAACTCCACCACCGGCCCACCCATAAAACCCTTCCATTATGATGATTTCAATCATCATAACTCCTCTCCTAAATTAGCTCCAAGAGAAAATGAAAGTAATTAACTCAATTTGAAATTTGAAATTCAAATTTCAAAAACTTTTCTTATTTGCAAATCTTAATTAGGAAAGTGCATAAATTCACGTCTATTTGAAATTCAAATTAAATTGGATTTCATGATAGCTTTCCTAATTCCCATGTGTTGTTTTGGAAACTCATAAAACTCTCTCCAGAAGTCCCTCCCTCCTCTTCATACCGCCGGCCCCCTCATTGGGCTTGACCCTTGTTGTTTCCTCAATAAGCCCTCACCACATTAAGTGTGAAATCAAATTTCAAATGTAATTCCCTCCCAAACCTCCCAAAATCTGAAATTAATTTAAGATTTATTTTCCATCCACCTTTCACAAACGCTAACTCCCCTTTAGCCCACATAATTCCCTCCCTTGGCCGCCTTGGCTTCTCATTGGGAGATCCACCCATTCTCCACCCTCGGCTACTTCTCTGGCGGATAAGGCCTTACGCTTCACTTGTCTTATGGTAACATCACTTGTTTTACTTCTACCCTTTCTCCGCTAAACCCACTACAAAAGAGAGAAGGAACTCAAGGTGAAACATCTTGATTTTGCACCAGAGATTATTGTTTCATCGCCATTAGTTTATCTACTTACTTTTGCTAATCGCTTGCAAGTACTTGGTTAATCTCCGTTGTAATCGTTTACTTTTACTTAATCTTGTAATGACATATTTCCAAAATCATTACTTGGTGAAGCATAAGTTTTCCACTAGCAAAGTAAATTTCACATTGTTATTAATTTCCAAATCAATTCTTGTACACGTGTATGTTTCACATCAGGTATCCTTTAAGAGATGGTGGCAAGCATGCAACTATCTCACAACTCCAACTACTATGGTTGGAATAAAATGATAGATGTTTGTTGGTCGGCTACCATCATGTTTAAGAAATGAGCATATATGTTCTTAAATGTGCTTCAAGCTTCATGACTAAGGCTTCGTTTGGGACGGCTTTATTACTGCTTCTTAAAGCAACTTTTTAGTACAAAAAATTAAAATTTTGTACTAGAAAGCTACTATAAGAAGCAGTAAGAAAGCCGTCCCAAACAAAGCCTAAGATTCATATCTACTGGTGCGTTGTGTGAGTACTCCTAAAGACATTCTTACATGAGTGCCATATGGCAACAAATTATCCAATATTTAAATGCAATACTCAAGTTAAATATTAACACTATGATGGCAACAAAGACTTTTAATTCTGACAATGTATGTAGGTTCAAAACGTTGAACCAAAATAGATGGAATAAATAAATTAATGTTGATGACAACATTGTAGGGAGCTGCACTCTCAGACAGGGATTCTAAATTAAAAATACAATTTTTCAACCAGTTATAAAGGGTATACCTGGTGCATGAGCCTCTCTCCAATTGTGAGATCTGAGAAGAGATTACTATATGCAACGTTACCGCTTTATAGCATAGATTATTTTCATGATTTAAACGGCTTAAGTCTGGACCATAATGGGGGTAACCGATTCATTGCAACAGGGGCCTAAAATCCCTAAACAATGCTATTACTTTTATCATCAAGTTAATTTTTCATTGGTTGAAGACAAACTTTCGTAAACTAAATTAGTTGACGGCAAATAGTAAACTATTTTACATCATATGTTAGCCTACCTGAAGCAAAAAAACATCTAGTCAAAAATTCAAACGCCAAAACTTAATTTTATGATGGTTCACGTCTGTAAAGTGCTTGCTTCACTTTAGGTTATGTTCTTTGTACTTTGAAGAAGCAAACTTCGCTTGCACTTTTTCTTAGATAACTTTGAAATAAAGCTGCTCATATGATATGACATGATATTTTCCCTACGCTCTACTAGATTCGCTAGAGAGTAAAATCTTACCTTTTGACACGTATTTTTCTTTGAATGGCATGGCAGTAGTCTGATCAAATGAAAATCCTGAAAGGAAATGTTTGACCACTAAATGTCACTTGCTTTGAAATCTATGCAAGTCATCCCTGAAAAGTCATCCAACACCTTGAAAAGAACAGTAATCTCGACACTTAAAGGTATAGTTAACGCCATTATTGTGAAGAAGAAAAGAAGATTCATCCCAACAATATTACAATCCAGGCCATTTAGACAAGCAATGACATTATACAACTTTTATACAGCTTTGCAGAATCGGGAAACATGACAAAGTTGCAAAACCCTAGTAAATCCACTAAGGTATCAAATTCTACCTTTCAAGCTCCATCTACTAACATAAAAAAGTAAGTGGCTTCTCATATAGGAGAAATTAATATCCCCTAGTTACCATGAGAATACAACACATGAATTATGTTTATATGAAGAAATACTTGGGATCATACAAGTACCAAAAACTATCTAACTAAAAATAGATCTTAAGAGATGCTTTATATAGATTACATATAAGCTATAAAGTTAGACAAAATACAGGATCGGAGTATAGAACATCACAACAAATGGTATTCTTGAATTCAGTTGCCAATATGATGTAGCACCTCTAAGGTTGCATGATTTCTAATGTAGATCTAATATTCAATGCAAATTTAGATACACGAACAATGCAATAAACACGTTTCACAAAACATAAGTAATTTAAAACACTCTATTGCTTTCAATGAAATAAAATGTTAAAATTCAGTTCTAACGAAATATTTATGGCATCCTACTATAAATTAAGGACAAAATAAATGGAGATCATGAAAGCCAGATATGTATTGGACCTCAAAAAAAAGTTATAATCATAGAAATCTGACAAACCTACTTAATTAAGCAAATAACATAAAAGACAACTAGAATAATGAGGAAAGAAAAGCATACAATATAAAAAAGGCAACTAGAAAATTAAGCCTATTCAACCAAGATTGATTTTTCCTAAATGTCCTGCCATGTGCCCATTATTCTTAGCTATACTGATAGCTTCCTGATTATCACACATCATCTAAATAGGAGATGAACTCATTTTTCCCAGTTCAGTAAGAAATTTTTGTACTCAGATCTCTTCACAAATTCTCTGTCTCAGTGCTCTATACTAAATTTCTGCACTACTTCTAACTATCATTGATTGTTTATTGCTCCTCCAGGTAACAAGATTACCCTAGGAAAAAGAACAATACCCAAAAATTGACCATCTCTCAATGACATTTTCTACCCAATCTTGCCTTTTTAAAGAATAGGTCTTTCTCTGGTGTCATCTTCAAGTATCTAAGAATCTTGTAGACTGCTTCCACGTATTCTTTTGTAAGATGTGCATGAATTGACTTACAATACTCACTACAAAACCAATATCTAGCCGAGTATATGAAAGATATATCAGACGTCCAACAAGTCTCTAATATCTCCCACTGCCTACAGATGTACTTTCTTTTTCGGTGCCAAGTTTCTTCTGATTGCCCATAAGAGTATCAAGAGGTTAGCATCCAAGCATACCAAACTCCTAAAGAAGATCTAGAATATATTTCCTTTGAGAAATAACAATGCCCTTTCTTGATCTAGTCACTTCCATTCTAAGGAAATGTCTAAGATTTTCAAGATTTTTAACTTCTGACATACACTTCTTCAAATTCTGTAATTCTTCCACATCATTCCCAAATAGAATAATATCACGACATGGACAATAATTATAGCAATTTTTTCAGCGTGAGATCTCTTGAAAAAGAGAATGTTATTAGCTTGACCTTGTATATAGCCTACCATCAAAACAACTTTTGTGAATCTATCAAACCAGGCTAAGAGAGATTGTTTAAGGCCGTACAAAGACTTCTTGAGTTTGCAAACTTGATTATGTCATACTTTTTTTAAAACCATGTTGACTTACCTCTTCAAGGTCACCATTTAGAAAGGCATTTTTTATGTCCAATTGTTGTTGCAAGAACTAATCTTGGTTGATATCCAATGAGAGAAAAATTCTGATAGGTATTAAGCTTTGCAATAGGATCAAAAGTTCTTGATAGTCTATCTCACAGGATTGTGTAAATCCTCTAGATACCAACCGAGCCTTGAATCTCTAAATTAATCCATTTGCTTTATACTTTATATTGAAAATCAACTTGCACCCCATGAACATTTGCCTAACTAGCAAATCAGTAATAGTCCATGTTTCATTCTTCTTAAGTGCATCAATCTTATCTTGTATAGACTTCTTCCATTCTGAACTTTGTGACGCATCTTGTATTGTGCTAGGAACCTAAATACCATCAAGAGAAGTAGCGAATGCTTTGTAAGATTAAGATAACCCTTCATAAGTAACATAATTCTCAATTGGATGACCTATACATCTCCTAACACCTTTCCTCGATGCAATCGGCATGGTAGAGTCATCAATGTTGGGAATTGGCGCATCCAGCCTTATCTGTACCTACGTTTTCTTAATGTGGACTTGAAATTGAGTCAATATCATGACCACATGCTAGTTGTGATCCGTGCTCTAGCTCCTTCCTTTTCCTCCTAATGTAAACTTGAAAATTCTTATTAACAAGTTGTGGAGCCATAGATTGAGCAGGTACTAGAGAAGAAATATTTGTGGAATAAACTGATAACTGAAAAGGCACAGGAGCGGACAAGTCTTGTGTACGGTCTTTGGGAATAAGGACGAGTAGAGAAGAACTAGGTGACTCTGAGTGGGAAAAGAGCACAGACTCCATAAAGAACTCTCAAACTTGATGTTCATGCATGCTCTCCCCCTTAACATAAGATTTGGGATATAATGACACATGTTCAAAGAAAGAGACATCCATGGTGGTGTAAAATCTTTTATTGGTTGAAGAATAACATTTGTACTATTTTTTAGATGGAGAGTACCCTAAAAAAATACACTTATTGACTCTAGGATCAAATTTGCTACTATGTTGAGGATACACATGAATAAATACCATGCAATCAAATACCTTGAGAGGTAAATCAGATGAAGTTGCAGGAGTGTGAGAAAAATTTGACAGAAGAAACAAATTTGGAGAATGAAAATTAAGGACAAATTAAGGACTATGGATGACATAAGATTGATCAAATAAGTAGTTGTGAGAATGGCTTCCCTCATAAATAATTTGAAATATTAGAGAAAAAGATAAGACACCAGGCAACCGCCAAGAGATGTTTATTCTTGCGTTCAGCCACCCCATTTTGTTGAGAGGTGTCAACGCAGGAACATGTGGATAATCTCATGGTTTTGAAGGTAGGTATTGAGACTACTAGTGAAGTATTCCCTAGCATTGTCTGACTTGAGTACCTGAATTTTAATGTTGAATTTTTTTGAACCATACGATTGAATGTTTAAAAATTGTCTGACCTTAAACTTTTCTTTCATAAGAAAAACCTAAGTTACCCATGCATAATCATCAACAAATGTCACAAGCCCTCAAGTGTTAGAAATATTTTTTTATCGTTAAGGTACCACACACATCACTGTGGATCAAAGAAAAATCAATTGAAGGTTTGTATGGAATTTGAGGATATACTGTTCGAGTATGTTTTGCAATCTGACAAATTTTGCAATGAAAAGATGTTGGACTTCTATTGATAAATAATTTGAAAAATAATACAAGATACATAAATCTATGATGACCAAGATAATAGTGTAACATTATAATTTCACTATTTTTAGTGGCATTGGAATTGGACACATAATTGAAATATTCTAATAGATTCTGAGAGTGGACGCAACTTGCTTGAAAAACTTAGTTTGAGGATCTATCACAAGGGAGGAGATAGAGCCTAGAGCATAATTAAACATTGCAATCATCTTCCTCGATTTCAAGTCCCTAAAAACACACAAATTTGGGTAAAATTTAGTAACACATTGAAGGTTAAGAGCCAATTTGCTAATAAACAAAATATTACAATCCAAATTTGAAACACGAAAGACAAAGTTGTGATACAACTCTTTAGTAAGTTGGATGGAACATGAGCAATTTTAGAATTTAAACCATCAGCAATACGGATGGACGAGTGACCACTACTTGGCTTGTCATTTTGGAGAAGGGCAGTATCTCCGGTCATGTGATCAGAAGCACCAGCATCGGCTATCCGCGACCTTATTTCTCCTTTGTTAGTATTCAAGGCAGTATGTGAATTTGTTTGACCAACCAAACATGTCCCATTAATGTTACTACTGCCAACTTGACTAAACAGTTTCTACCGCAAATGAATCTGATTTTTTTTTAAATGGGCTAGGCTTAGAACATGAGCACTCATTCAGTTGAAAGCCACATGTAATTTGCTGCCTCTATCAAACCGTGGCTTTCGTTTTCAATCATCTGATTTTTCATGAAGCTTTGAGCAAGACTCTTAATAATGACCTAGTTTCTTACAGTAATCGCACCAAGGCCTTTCTTGTTGTTGACAATCTCCACCATTATTGTTCCTTAGATCCCATCATTACTTTCTTTCTACTTTCTTCACGCCTAGCCTCTGAGAAGGTCTCCCTAAGATTGGGCAGTGGTTTAATGCCCATGATTCGATCTTGAACATCAACTAACTCCCTGTTAAGTCTTAAGATAAATTTGAAGTCTTTTTTGTTCCACAATATGCGTGTACATTACTGCATCTTCTGGACAAGTCCATGAGCGAGTTTCAAATAAATTAAATTGCTGGCAAGAATATGTGTGACAAAGTGCATTTGATTTTTCTAAATTAATAAATATCATATTTTATAAAACATGATCAAAAATTTTGAAATTAAAGCTTTTTTTTTAAGAAATGTTTAATTATATATATATATATATTACTTTAAAATTATATTTAATAAATGTATAGTTAAAAATGACCAAAATATCTTTACATTTAACATCATTAACTTCAACATTGAATATTGAATGGTATGACCAAAACGATCTCAATTTAAAGAGTTGAGAGACCAAACTAGCTCTCAAAAGAATTGGAGATCATTTTAGTCCATCGCAAACAGTTGAGGGACCATTTTAGTCCTTTTCTATATAATTTATTGAGGTATGAAGTGCATTTTTCCCAAAATTAAATGATAATAATAATAATAAGTGATACATGAAATTTAAAAAAAAAAGTCAAATTAACATGATGAAAATGAGATAAAGGCATGTTGTGTGTAGGTAGTTTAAGATTGAAACAAATCATCATCTTTGATTTTAATTCTATTTGCCAATTTTATCATGCATCATTTACCCTCTACTGTAAATGCCAAATTATCCAAGATTGTTTTCTACTATTCTATACTCAACAACTTTTCATTCATTAGGTTGTAATGCAATCAAGAATTATCATTCTATGTTTTTATTTTTCTATGTTTTTTTTTTTATTTTTCTATGCTTTGGACTCTATGTTTCTTTTTATCTGTATTATCCTATGATGGAAAATAATCCATGATCATGCTTGAGTTTGGTGCTCTTAGTTAATTTCTCTCCATTGACTTTCCACTTATGTTGAATTTGTTTCCTTGCTCCTTAGTGGCTAAATGGGTATTTAATTTAACCTATTTTTCCTTATTGGGATTGGCCCAATTCTTCTCATTTTGGTTGTTCCCCATGCTGTCCCGTTTTCCATGTTGTTGGCTTTCTCTATGCTGGTTGTTTTTCCCCATGTTGCTATCCCGTTTTCCCTATTGTTGGATTTTCCTATGCTGGTTGTTTTTCCCCATGTTGTTGTCACGTTTTTCCTGATGTTGGCTTTCCCTATGTTGGTTGTTTTCCCCATACTAATGGTTGTTCGATTTCCACATTGTTATTTTCCTATACTAAGTGCATTAACTCCTCATTAAATGACTAACTTGAGAGGCTTCTGTTAGTTGTTTGGCTAGCATAATTAAGTAAGCGATTTATGACAATTTCCCCCTTCTTCTTCTTCTATATATATATATATATATATATATATGGGTTGCTTGCTGCTGGAAGAGATGGTTGTTATTGTTGCTGGTGTAATCACACAAAACCTACGGGTTATTTAGCTTGCGAGTTATCTTCTTATACCTTCTTCTATTTTGTCTTGATCTTCTATCTAATCTTCTCTCCATGATTTCCGTTCCACCTATATATTTTTTCTCCAAATATTGTGAGTGTAAGATGTTGTGCCCCATTTATTGGTATTTGCCGGAGGAGCGCCAACTTGAGCTGGATGATAATTTATGGTTTGAACCACTTGTTTGATTTTTCTTTTGAGCACCATTCTCTATTTTCGTGATTTGCATATGAGGTGACTAGGGGTGTAAACGAGTCAAATTTTAGCACTATCAAGCTCAGCTCGTTTGTCGAAAAGAGAGCTCGAACTCGAGCTTGAGCCCGAGTCAAGCTCAAAAGGCGAGCTCGAACTCGAGCTCGTCCCACTGTAAACGAGTTCTAGCCAGCTCGTCGAGCCGCTCGATTTCGTGCCCATGTTCAATTTCCCGCCCAATTTTCATTTTCCCACCCAGTTTTCATTTAGGAGAAAATATAGCTGCATCTTTCTCTAATGTAATAAATGTACATGGATTAATGGAATTGAAAAGGCTACAACTTTTAAGCCTCATTAACGAGCTCATTTAGAGAAAGAGAGATGGAGAGAGCGATTGAGCAGTTTTTTTTTATAATGTCAGAAAGGTATTAACATTTATTATTCAAGTGACAGAGAGAGAGAGAGAAGTAGAGTAGCATATTTCAAAATCACGCTTTAAAATTTCTTGAAAAACAGGCAGGAGTGGAATTTATGCATCATTTATTATTATTTTTTAAAAATATTTAAATGTAATAAATTCTAGCCAGCTCGCAAGCTCACGAGCAAAGCCAGGCTCAAGCTTGAACTCGAGCTCGTTTACTAAATGATCTCGAGTTTGAGCTCGAGCTTGAGTTCAACTCGTGAGCTCGATAAGCTCAGCTCGCGAGCCCATAAATGAGTCGAGCTCAAGCTGGCTCGACTCACTTACACTGTTATTCTGTGAGTATTTTAATTTAGTTATTTGGTTATTTTGTGTGCCTTCTTATCAATTTTCTAAATTTTGTTTCCTACTTAGTTTCCAATATTTGTGCATGTTTATATTATATTAAAAGGAAGCATTGCAAATTGCATTCCTAATGTTCTCCTACTTGTTTTAGAATCTAGATTGCATCAGGTTGAAATGGTAACAAAAATATTCTAGTGGCAACAAATAAATAAAAAGAAAAACATATTCATCCAGGTGGTAATATAATGTACTAGTTGGAGACATCAACTGGAATAATATCTCACCATCATGATCAAATACCACCTGCAACACAAAAATTTAAACAGTTAATAAACTGCAAGGGACCTTTAGAATAAGAGTACATTGAAGAAATAAACAAGAACAAATGGGAAAAGAAAGGCCACTTAAGCTGAAAACAATTTTCTTGTTCAATGATACTGTTTACATATTTATTATGAGAAGAAAAAAAAATGCAGCATAAACGAGAAAGCATATAATTAATGCAGGTTATAAAAAAAATAAAGATTTTTATACATATCCTAAAAACAGCAATAACACCAGTCAGGCGTTACTAAGTACCAAAATTCAAGCATACTACAAGACGATTTCCTTTAAATAGAAGGCCATGGCAGTCACAAAATAAAAAACTTGCGCCATCATTCAACAAACCAAAAAATATAGATGAGTATTAAGAGGCATCATCAAAAAAAACAAACTAAGGAGTCGCAGCCCGAATATTTTTAAGATCTGTAACTGAAGTAAAGAAAGGTAAACAATGAAAACAATAGCTTTACAACAATCATTCAACATACCGCAATGTGAGATGGAACAAATTCCAGCACGTCCAGCAGCTGCAGTAAAGCATGATGATTACTTTTAACAAAATGTTGAATTGGAGAGGAATAATAGCTGATGATAAGGATGAATGGCGAGCTAAAAGACCGAGAAGGAAGAAAATGAAAACTTAAAAAACAAATGCAACCAAAAAGTAATGACAAATTAGTTAACCCCATGAGCCAGATATACTGGCTTCGTTTTATCATTTGCAGTTACAGCAAATTGTTCTACAAATATCAATTTTTTAAATAAAAAAAGCATAAAGTTCCATGGCTACCTATGCATGTCTATGAAACTTTATTTGATTATTAGTTTTGACAAAAAAATGCTCCAAGAAAAATAAATAGCATTTGATCAGTATTCACACAAGATATCTTACCATTGACAAGGCTGTGAATATGGTTAAAACCCAATCTCCATTGCCATCCGCATGCTCTAAATGGCCATGATGTAGTCTAGCTTTGGCCACACAAAAAGAAAACTTCTTAATCTTACAAAACCATCGATGTGTAAGGTAACAATAAAGCTTAGAAACAGATGGCCCGTTGATAACATCCAGCTCGCAATATCTAGTTAAGGGTGTGATGCACTTGGCTCTTGTTTCTACTTTATATTACTGAATATATGCAGCAAATCCAAAAAGCAGAGCATTGTTTCTACTTCCATTTTGACATAAAACGCCTATTAATAACATTTAGCACGCCATAGCTAATAGTAAAAAATATGGCATCGGTAGCCAAAAAAGTGATGAGAAAAAAATATATATTAAAGAATATTTTGAAGGACTTGATAGAAAATCAGATATACCACACATAAAGCCTGAGATTTAAAACAAATGGAACCAAAGAATCAGAGCTACTTAGAATCCCACAAGTTACTGAACATGGATGATTTAAAAATTTTATTACATCTCAAAAGCATTTTTAAGAAGATGAATGAAGGAAAATACAAGATTCATGTATCATCATCGTTAGCCTTATCCGAATTATTTGGAGTTAGTTTTATAAACCTGATTCACCATTCATTCTTTATGAACGTTATATGAAGGGTTAAACATATTTTAACATATTGTCTACTCCTCAAATTTGAGTCTTCTACCATTTGTTGCATGTCTCTAAATTACCTCAGTCTATTTTTCAAAATCCTATTTTTAATAGATGCTACTCTCATTATCCTTCTAATATAATTATTTTGTAATCTATCCTTACTAATTTGTTCAAATATCCATCTTAGTATTCTCATGATGACACCCAAAAGGGTCCAAACACACAAAAATAAATAAACTTTACAGGACAAAAATGTCACCAAGAACTAAAGAAAAACTTGTTGACCTCAATCCCATAATAAAACAACAAAAGCACCTGAACCTTGATTAGATATAACACTTAAAAACTTAATCTTCCCAAAGGATCTTTTTGCTTTAGTCATAAATGTTCTCACTAGACATTTGCAAGAGGTTGTACCCTGGTGTATGTCTTCTACTGATGATATTCTTCTTGTTGATATGACTAGAGAGGGAGTTGAAGGTAAACTTGAATTGTGGAGGTCAACCATCGAATTTAAAGGCTTTCATTTGAGTAGATCTAAAACTAAACATATGGAGTGTAATTTTAGTAATAATAGATCTAGTGAGGGGGATTGTGACTTTGGGCGATCAAGTCAGAGTACACATTGTAGATAGCTTGAGTCTATTGTTCAGAGTGATGGTGAAATAGATGGGGATATTATTAGTAGAATTCAAGTTAGATATTGAAGTGGAGGAATACATCGGGCTTGTTGTGTAATAGAAAAGTAAGATGGTGTTGAGACCTGCAATGATTTATGGTGCAGAATGTTGACCATTAAAAAAGAAGCATAATATTAAGTTAAGTGTTGTAGAGATGATGATGCTCTAGTGGATGAGTGGCTTTACTCTTAGAGACAGAATATGAAATGAACATATACGTGAAAAGGTTGGAGTAACACCAGTGGAAGATATGATTAGAGAGAGTCACCTTAGATGGTTTGGTCACATTAAACGGCAACCTTTCGATGCTCCTGTTAGGAAAGTAGATGTATTAGATTTGACTTATGTTAAGAATGATAGAGGTAGACCTAAAAAGACTTGGTTATAAAATATTAGAAATGACATTTATTTATTAGATTTAAATGAGAATTTAACTATTAACAAGATGCAATGGAAAAAAAAAAGATTCATGTAGCCGACCCCACATAGTGGGATAAAGGCTTGATGTTGTTGTTGTGGTGGTGGTAAATATAATGAAATTTTTGCACCGAGAATTTAGTGAAAGATACCAACTAATTTCATATTTCCAGCAATTTCACTTTCTTGGATACAGTTTTGTAATTTTGTAGTTAATTCTAGCCCAAAATATGTTTACCAAATGATTTCAGACATCTCTTGTTGTTTTTCCCTTGCCCAATGCCTTTTTGCTAATAATTTCTAGTAAGTTTCTCAAGCTTTAGCAAGCAATTGTAAAGCCCTGATTGGATAAAAATTTCAACCACCTAAGAAATAAATAAATAAAAAATCAACTTATCAAAAATTACCAACATAAAAAAATAATAATAAATTGATAGAAAAACAATAGGAAAATAATGAACCTAATATATAAGAAATGTAAGAAGTTAATTCATTTCACATTCTTTTAATTCATTTCTCATTAAGTGGATCCAGGGGCTACATCTCCTTACAACTACAAAATCTCCTACTATTGCTTCTTGCCTCTACATATATAAGATATGTAAGAAGTTAATTCTTTTCACATTATTTTAATTCATGCCTCATTTAATAAATCCATGGGCTACATCCCCTTACAACTACAAAATCTCTTACTACTGCTCATCGCCACTACATCTTCCAAAATTGTTATCACTAACGGAGCCTCCCTGATTGCTTGCCCAAAGGCCATCTTGATGCCCACACCCACCTGAATATAGAATTATGAAAAGGATCCCTCCAAAGAATAGTTCATGCTTCTCAGGAAAAAGGAGACCCATCTTTTCATAATTAAATTTTATTCTTGGAGATATTTTTCTTTTCTTTCTTTTATAAAGGTTGTTTTGCAATTTGGAGTGTATGCAAGTTAATAAGAGAAGCTAGCCTAATTATACCCCATCCCTTGGAGAGAAAATAGTTTTTGGCTAAGTTTGGTTTTAGGTTTCTTGATTTTGGGAAGAATTCCCATATTTTCGAGGAGTGGTGAGAAAAGAAGATCATAGTACAATCTGAAACTGTAACATCCAAAAATTTTAAAAAAGAGAGATGAAAATTACTTCTAAAAACTATACCCAACTTTTTGCATATCTCGAAAATTATCGAAAATCATTTTATAAAATTCTACATTTTATTCATATCATTTAGATATATAGAAGTGTATATAAATAAATAATTATATTAATATTTGATGCATGCAAATTACTGTTTATTTTCATTTTTTATTGTAATTTGAATATTATAATTTTTGTTTAGTTTTTTTTATGCTATCCTATGATGGAAATCATCCAATGATCATGAGTAGGAAGTCCTTGGGCATGGCAAGCCTTGGGTGTGCTAGCTACTTGGGTTCTTTGGTATTTTGGGCTGCTGCTGCTTCTCGGGTTGGGCCTTGGTTGCTCGGGTTTGGATTGTGTTCTCTGGGAGCTATTTGTTTCTAGTTCATAAATGCTTGAGCTAATGTTTAGCTCATTCATATGAAAAGGTATTCCTCTTGTTAGCTCATTAAGTGGAGTTGGATCTTTGCCTTTTCCCCTTCTTTGTGTCCCCTCGGTTTCTTCCTGGTGTTGTTTCCCGTGGCTGGTTCTTTCTCCCTTGCTGGCTGCTAGTTCCGGTTCCCTGTGCCGCTCCTTCAGTTTCTCCCCTGGCTGCTTGTTCTGTGGCTGCTTTACCCGGTTTCTGTGTTGCCTTTTTGGGTGTTGTTCTGAAATGGTTGCTGGCCTTCTACTCCCCCATACCTGATTGGTTCAGTTGGAGGTTGAATGGTTGTTCGGCTGTCCCCCTTTTCTCTCATAAATTGGAGATGTTTTTGACATGAAAGAGTTGTTGAATATTTGAGCAAAGTCTCTACAAAACCTGAGTGTTTCTTCTACCTTGGAAAAGCTTGAGAGCTTGTTCAATTTCTCTCTTCCTCCTCTCTATTTCGTCTTGGGCTTCTAACCTCTTCTTCTCTCCGCAAGTTCCACTCCACTTGTATCCTTCTTCTTGAGCTATTGGAGGTGTTTGTTGGCTGATTGAGTGACATTTGCTGGAGAAGTTTTATTGGACGTTGGACCTTGTTGCTGTGGTGGCCCTTGGTTTGCAAGCCCTTAAGCACTTATCTTATTTTTCCTACTTTTCTTTGCATGTGAGGAAACCGCTTGCCTGTTGTTCTGAGGATAGTGTTTTTAATTTTAAATTTTGTTTCGTTTGTTCGGCTTTGGTCTGTTTTTGTGTTTTGTTTAGATGTCAGCATTCTAGTTTGAATCGTGTTTTGTTCTTCTAGTCCTAGTGTTCTCCTCTATTGACTCTTCCTTTCTAGTTTGCCTGCATCAATATTTATTATTTTTTAATTAAATAAAATTACTAAAGTTTTTAATTTTATTGTTCACCCTATTAATTTGTTGTAGCAAAAAATGGAATGTTACAAAATTACATACCATGCAAGGGTAAATTAAAACATCAATGATGTGAATAGCTTATGGTATAGTTAACTATATATGTGATTAATTAGATTATGAATAGCTTGATTCCATCTAATCCAAATTCATCCTTAACAACTCTCTCCATCCCAAAGCAGCAGCTAGAGGCTCGGGTAGGCTCTGCTGTAATGAAGATACTGGTAAGGCTTAATTCTTATATATAGATATATAGATGCAAGTTACATTATTAGAGCCTAAATCATTCATCTTTATCCCAACCCATAGTTGGAGGAGAAATCGTTATTAAAAGGGGGATCTCAGGTAGGGAAACAGAGAAAATAAAGAAGAAAAGGAATATGGAAAAAAGGAAGGGAAGCAAAAGAAGAAGTAGAAGAAAAAGAAGATGATGAAGAAGAAAAGGGAGATGAATAAAAAGTAAGAGAAGGGATGAGGACAGATTTCATATTTTTAGTAAAAATCTTAATTTAGTACAAATTGAGATAGGATTCAAGTTTATAAAGTTGAAGAATTTAATAAGTAGAAATTATGGGTGTCAAATAGGTTGACAGGATAGGTTTAGGTCTAACCCAAAATTAACCCGATCTAGTCAACCTGAACCCAACATGTTTAAAAAACAGGCCAAAAAGATCAACAACCCTAATCCGACCAATTAACTCATTTTGGTTAAAAAAATTAACAATTTATTAACTACAAAGTTTAGGATATTGATCAAAAATAAGAAGATTATACCTAGAAGTAAAAAATTTAAAGAAAAAATAAATTAAACGAGTCATTTTCAGGTCAAAAGTCAGTTCGCAAATGAACTTAAACCCGACCCATTT